GACATACTGTATCCATAGGACATACTGTATCTATAGGACATACTGTATCTATAAGACATACTGTATCTATAGGACATACTGTATCCATAGGACATACTGTATTTATAAGACATACTGTATCCATAGGACATACTGTATCTATAGGACATACTGTATCTATAGGACATACTGTATTTATAAGACATATGAGACGGCTGATGTCTCCGGTCATATAAATTATGGACTTGGTCTTACACATCGCCATCTTATTTCCAATAAACTTATGGTGTGTGTTTTTATAACAACTGTGACATGTGTTATTATGTTGTTGTAGGGCCCTAGTAACTAACGTCTCCTTCACGTCTATAGATTGACAGCTATCAGTGTGATATGTATGGCGGTGTGTAGACTGGACAAAATGATGAGAACTGACCGTCCATATATACGCCCCCATCCTCCATAGATACGACTGGACCTGTGGGAACCGTTCCTTATTCTATTTAGTGCTGAATTATTTCTGCATTTATGTCATTTAACATGAATTTGTGCTTTAGATCGAATGTATGGTCTTTAAATTAAGACATATGTAAAGTTCAAATTTTATAGGTTTTTGTACGTTAAGTTATCGAAACTATAAAAGGTTGGTTATACTGACTAAATAGAGTATCCCGTTAACACCCTTAACTGAACTATAAAAGGTTGGTTATACAGACTAAATAGCGTATCCCGTTAACACCCTTAACCGAACTATAAAAGGTTGGTTATACTGACTAAATAGCGTATCCCGTTAACACCCTTAACCGAACTATAAAAGGTTGGTTATACTGACTAAATAGCGTATCCCGTTAACACCCTTAACCGAACTATAAAAGGTTGGTTATACTGACTAAATAGCGTATCCCGTTAACACCCTTAACCGAACTATAAAAGGTTGGTTATACTGACTAAATAGCGTATCCCGTTAACACCCTTAACCGAACTATAAAAGGTTGGTTATACTGACTAAATAGCGTATCCCGTTAACACCCTTAACCGAACTATAAAAGGTTGGTTATACTGACTAAATAGCGTATCCCGTTAACACCCTTAACCGAACTATAAAAGGTTGGTTATACTGACTAAATAGCGTATCCCGTTAACACCCTTAACCGAACTATAAAAGGTTGGTTATACTGACTAAATAGCGTATCCCGTTAACACCCTTAACCGAACTATAAAAGGTTGGTTATACTGACTAAATAGCGTATCCCGTTAACACCCTTAACCGAACTATAAAAGGTTGGTTATACTGACTAAATAGCGTATCCCGTTAACACCCTTAACCGAACTATAAAAGGTTGGTTATACTGACTAAATAGCGTATCCCGTTAACACCCTTAACCGAACTATAAAAGGTTGGTTATACTGACTAAATAGCGTATCCCGTTAACACCCTTAACCGAACTATAAAAGGTTGGTTATACTGACTAAATAGCGTATCCCGTTAACACCCTTAACCGAACTATAAAAGGTTGGTTATACTGACTAAATAGCGTATCCCGTTAACACCCTTAACCGAACTATAAAAGGTTGGTTATACTGACTAAATAGCGTATCCCGTTAACACCCTTAACCGAACTATAAAAGGTTGGTTATACTGACTAAATAGCGTATCCCGTTAACACCCTTAACCGAACTATAAAAGGTTGGTTATACTGACTAAATAGCGTATCCCGTTAACACCCTTAACTGAACTATAAAAGGTTGGTTATACTGACTAAATAGCGTATCCCGTTAACACCCTTAACTGAACTATAAAAGGTTGGTTATACTGACTAAATAGCGTATCCCGTTAACACCCTTAACTGAACTATAAAAGGTTGGTTATACAGACTAAATAGCGTATCCCGTTAACACCCTTAACTGAACTATAAAAGGTTGTGCTACGACATACAATACTTCACAATTCAGAAAATGTAAAGTAGCTATAAAATAATTTATAGAAATTGAAAACCATACTGTTGCACTATTATTGTTTAAAATGAGACAAAACGAAACCCACCACGATACCGAATTAATTATATATTTACGTAACTGCCATCTAGACACTTGTGTGTGTTACACATTTCGTTCTCTGTCTAGCTGGCTCACTAGCACTTTATACCACATTCTACACTAATACATACCATCACACGCTGGGTTTATTGGTGGCAATGGTAGAGATATTTGATACGGTGTTATAGTTCACTTGCCTGTGATGCTGCGCAGTAATTGTAACCAGGACGTATATTACATAGCATTATGTATAACAATCCGCCAGTCATAACGAGGCAGTGTGATAATTACTCGGCTATACAAATGCCAAATAATTGGTTAAATGAGACCGTTATTGCGCTAATCATACAATAACTCTTCAATTAATGATTACGTTAGGGTTTTCACTCGTCTGTATGTCTTGCTGTATGCTGTAATTTACCAGTGGGGAGGACAACTTACTTACCAACGTACTTTTCTTTTTGTCTTAGGATTTTGTTAAAATTCTAATTATGCTAACAGTTACATGTCTAATTTTAAAATATGAATATTTTTTCTTTATTTGCAAAAATAGGAACTTTCAGATATGACAATCCATCAGGTTGATGTTATTTTGTGCATATTGTTTGTATAATTTTTACAAAGGGTGAAAAAATATTTCAAAATGATTACACCTATATGATTATGTAATCCGACTTCTAGTGTTTACTAATTAACAACCACGAATTAATACATGTACAAAACGTACAAAAATATTAGTTCCCTTAATTTTTTTAATATATGAATAACGATTTAGTCAACATAGTAAATTTTCTTACAGCTTTTTTCATTCCAATGTTCGGTTATATGTTGTCAATCATTTTAACCAATAATAAATGATTTGTATTCATTAATAAACATGATACTATACATGATCCAGTATCTAAAACAAGTCGGCAGCCATCCAGAATTAAACTGGTTGGTTTGACATACGGTACATTATACTTCTTATTTTCCCTTGTCTTAGTATGACAACGAGGTGACAAGCTAGCGACTCGTATCACTTCCTGTGTGACGGGATTCATTCCCTCCCTAAAGTCTACGCCAGTCAATCCCAACGCAGAACTAATCACTCAAAACCATTAAAGGTGTTAATGGGATGGCTCACTATCGAACCACTATCCCTGACTACAGCCGGTTTGGTCCAGTTGATTGTCTGTTTTTGGTGTCATGAATTCACAATTATTGCCGGCATTCACAGAAGATAATTCAATATCCTCTCTCTTAATTAATAGTTAGCTATAATCGTTCAAATTCGTGTTACATTAGCAATAATTAAAATTATAGCATAGCTTTCAAAACGGATCATTTTAAACACATTAGTGATTTCGTCATTGGATTAATGTTATTTTAAATTGTGATATAATGTTTGTTTTCCATTACAGCATTGCTTGAATTAATTGATTGGAAAAAAATCTGTCGAGAAAACAATTAGTATTTCACTTTTTTACCGTAAGAGGCAACACTGACTTTAAAATATTTGCTATTTAATCTAGTTGTACTCTATTAGAATATTTTTGTGTAATTCCATGATTATTATACCTTTTTATAATTCCATAGTTATTATATTTTTGTATAATTCCATCATTATATTGTTGTGTAAATCTAATATTATATTTTTGTATAGTTTCATTATCATATTTTTGAGTAATTCTTTTATCATATTTTTGTATAATTTCATTGTTATATTGTTGTGTTATTCTTTTTATATATTGTTTTGTGATTCCATAGTTATAATGCTGTGTAATTCCATTATCATATTTTTGTGTGATTCCATAATTATTTTTGTTTCATGATTCCGTTTATATGTCCTGTGTGGTTCCATAAAAAGCTGTAGTAAGATTTCATTATTAAATTGCTACGTCATGGATTCAATCATTATGTGTATGTGATATTCCATTATTTCATGTTACGAAATTCAGTTATTACATTGTTGTGAGATTTTATGTATTTGTTTTTTTGGGTTTTTTTTGTTTTGTGATTCCAGTATTATATAGTTGTGCTTGATCACGTGGAGATTTGTTTGTCTGTAAATTTAAACGAATTTAAATATCAACCTGATGCAATCTTCCGTAAATGTCTTTTTAGTTTAAAAAATAGTCATTGACGGACGTTATGCAAGAGATAAGACACAGTAAAATTGACCCTACTCACAAAGATACAATTTCGCAATGTATTGATTTAACTCCACGCGTTATTTTATCTCAGTTATGAATCTAATGTTATCCTTATCGTGACCATGTTTCATTACTAGGATTTGTTCTGCGGTAGTCCCGTCAATGCTAGAGCAAAAACATGATTTTAGTTTAATCCCAATTAATTCAGCTAAATACCGTTTATTTTAGTTTAACTCCAATTAGTTCAGCTAAATACCGTTTATTTTAGTTTAATTCCAATTAATTCAGCTAAATACCGTTTATTTTAGTTTAATTCCAATTAATTCAGCTAAATATCCTATATTTTAGTTTAAGCCTCATTCTTAAAAACTCATAAGTAGTGTAACATGTCAAAAAGTACAAAAAATAGTCAGCCGCGAAATAACCTATAATTACACAGATCTGTCATTGCCTCCTTAGCGAAAGTTTACAATGAATGAATGCATACACAGACAACGATCTTCCTTCAGAAAATAGTTTTGGCTTACAAGTATCGCCGATAACTAACATCAGAAAATAGTATTGGCTTACTAGTATCGCCGATAACTAACATCAGAAAACACTATTGGCTTACAAGTATCGCCGATAACTAATATCAGAAAAATAGTTTTGGCTTACAAGTATCGCCGATAACTAACATCAGAAAAAAGTATTGGCTTACTAGTATCGCCGATAACTAACATCAGGAAATAGTTTTGGCTTACAAGTATCGCCGATAACTAATATCAGAAAATAGTTTTGGCTTACAGGTATCGCCGATAACTAACATCAGAAAATAGTTTTGGCTTACAAGTATCGCTGATAACTAACATCAGGAAATAATATTTGCTTACTAGTATCGCCGATAACTAACATCAGGAAATACTATTTGCTTACTAGTATCGCCGATAACTAACATCAGGAAATAGTTTTGGCTTACAAGTATCGCCGATAACTAACATCAGGAAATAATATTTGCTTACAAGTATCGCTGATAACTAACATCAGGAAATACTATTTGCTTACTAGTATCGCCGATAAACACGGCGGTGTTTTCTACGTTTTCTACACTCGAACTCATGTAAAAAAGGTGCTTATGGGTAAGTCTATGTAAAGTTCGAATCATACATATACATTGACATGTATTGACTGTATACTGTACTACCGAATAGCCCGGCACGAGGCTTTAGTGACCCACGTTTTTTACAAGAAATTTGGAGAAATTAGTTTTATTTCTGTTTTAATTTGAGTTTATGCTGTTTATTCGTTTTGTCAAAATGTTCAATATTATTTGTCTTATGACAGGAAAAGGAGTTTTTGTGTAATTCATTATGAATCCCACGACATTAACATTCTTTAGTTTCTTTTTAGTTTTGTAATTCTAAAAATATACGTGATTTATAATTTTTATAGAACAAAAAACTGGTCAGTAATATCATCATACATTTTAACATCAGTTCGACATCGTTTTCTTATTGATGAATTTATTTTCTTTATAAACTAAAGCAATGCTAAAATACCGAATGTTTCTCAAACTGTCAAATCATCAAACAAAACGATATTTAAAAATTAACACTGATGGCAAATGATATAGTTGGTGACAGGTCATTTTAATTATTAACTCCTGGATTAAATATATTTTTAATTATCGTTAACCTTATGAATTAAATCACCCTTTTTACTGTTTTCCATTTATGTTAAGTTGTTTAAATTAAAAGATGTTTTAAGAAGAGATATGATACGTAGTTGTGTGTAGTAATTAATAATATTATATAGTGTCATATAATGTAAATGATTTATAAACTAATTAAAATATTCAAAGATTCTATTGAATAATTTTTGTTTATATTTTATATTTACGATATGTGAAGTGTTAACAGATTTACTATGAATCTGTAAGGCGATAGTTAATGTTTCATTTTATGTTTGCTGAATCTGTTAAGCGTATTTAATGTTTCATTTTATGTTTGCTGAATCTGTTAAGCGTATTTAATCAATTTGCCTGATAATGTGCTACACCTTTTTGTTAGCGAGTGTTGGTTTGTTTGTGTTTGTGTTTGTATTCGGGTGTTTTTTTGTGTGTTTGCTCATATGTTGGATATTTTTAGTAAATCAGTTTTTATAAATATGTGTTTGTTTTTATTTTCGGTGTAGACTTAAACAACGAGTTTATGTAAAAATAACAAATTCACAATAAAAAAATAAAAACAGAAAATATGCAAACTCAAGCTTATGACGAGAGCTGGTGAACTCGAGGTATGTCCTAGCTTAGATAAGGTAAAACCTGAGGAGGTGTACCATATGATTCCGACCCGTTATTTTTACTTTTGCTGATATTGCTCTATAGATTTACGAGTCTCAAATTTCACTTTCTGACACCGATGCAGAGTAAAGTGCATGGAAATAGCTCCATGCCAATAAAAACAAACACCCTTTCGTTATCATCAAAAATAGTAATGCTTTATATTATAACCAACGAAACCCGTTTCCCACACACTGGTAAATAGGTTTATCAGAGACAGGTTCAATTGATAAAATATTTGTGTATATCAGAATATGTCCAGCAGATAAATTAATTTCTGTTTGTTATGAATTCTTCAATTTCGGTTATTAATTTAACCAACGCCTCCATATCAATTTACCGTTTTCTTATTGTCGCCATCAACATGGCGATATACCGGTTGATAATAAGGCCTACTTACATACACAAGTTAATGAACCACGAAAGAGATTAAACTGTCTTGACTTAGAGCCAGACGGTATTTTCACGTTATTTTGTAGATGTTAATAACGGATAAATTGATCGGAGCTAATATCATTAATGTACCTAACCCTACTATGATTGGCTATTGACAGACATGTGGACAATTTTTACACGAGAGTAGTATTTCAGTTGCCCAATTATAACATAACAGCTGACTACCTATTTTGTTAAGTACTGATACCATAGTGTGGTTTGGTTAAGGGAAACGATTATCAGCAGACTGAATTAGAAATATATGTTTAACAGCAGAAGAATAAAACAAGAAAAACATTCTGGTAAAACAGCTATGAAGAAAAATTTAAAGAAAACATACGTACTTTCAAGGCTTGTACCGTGATGTCTATTTTCCAAGTTCTCCGGTCCGGATATGTACCCGTCTAAGTCCGCGTTCCGGTGTTTAGTATAACCCTCTTTTTCACCATTGGAATCGTACCCATAGCCACAATGTCGTCGCTCGTCACTTCGCCCATCAATTGATCTCGTGTCCTCAATTTTCACATTGTCATTATCATAACACGTCCCAAGTATGTTGGAGATGAAATGGGGTGTCGGTTGCTTAGGAGTTTTCTCGTAAATATGTGGGTGCCAGGTTCTAGGTGCCGTAAAAAAAACGCTGTCTCTAGAATAGCACGACGATGTCAAGGAGTTGTGATGTCTTGAATTCATGCTGCAATCCATTCCTATTTCACAAGCTCATTCGTGTCCTATTTGCACAACTTCTTTGAACAACTTCCCTTATATAAAATAAATACTATTTTCCGTATAAAGAATAATAAGTGTGCTGATAACCTGTAAAAAAAATATAGGAGAAGCCTTACAGTTTCTGTGTGTCATCTATAGACCAAATTTCCGTTTGGTGAGAAATAAAAAAAATAAAAAAATAAAAATCACAAAATGTTTCCATACAAAAACTACCTAACTCCCGGCACCGTCACACAGTAAACGTTTCCTGCTGTCCGGAAGCTCTTGAGTAAAACTGTGTGTAATAGGTTTAATGGCTATCTACAACGGTAAACAAAGTGCAGCCTCCCGCGGGTCCATCATGACAAGCTACCTGTCTCCCACACCTTGACAAAGCGGCCGTTATAGTGACGCCGATTATACCGTCTCTTAACAAGTCACTAGCAATTCTATCTACAACGGCTACAAGACGGGCCTTGTCTTGAAGAGCGCTCACCACTTAATGAATAAATTCTCTTCAATTAAGACAGGATGATTTGTACAACGACTAGAACAACCAAACACCGCACGTATCGTTATCATAATGAAACGTCTTAGCAGGAGGGAGAGGGGTGGGAGGAGGCGATAGAAATCTATTATGCCGTTAATGAGCCTTAAAGTTAGTAGTGGTGTACGGGAGGGCTGGATCAATCTCACCATGCTGAGAAACCGCATGCCACTGGTGTAGCATATAAGCGAGGGGCACTCGGCAAAAGATTAGCGCCGTCACTTGGCCAATCGGTCTCGGCATAACGCTGTCACTCTAGGAATTAATGATCATAAAGCAATGCTGATAAACAAATACCTTTAACCTCCGGTGTCAGTTTCGGATTATAATATTCTTAATGACTTCAATATTGCAGGTCATTATCAGAGGTACAGAACACCTAATTGTTTCAATCAATAGTAGTACACCTTCGTGTCTCCGTGTCTACAACAGAGGGCCGATCAAACAGCGGGCATCCTCCGTCCACTATCGGCACAAATGGCGCGTGTCAAACATGCGCTATCTGCACGTTCACATATCTACACACTTTGACACGGTCGGTTGATCATCATTAATTTACTGGAAATTAAACTGGCCTGTTAATGAATGAAATAACGTCATCATTGGCTTTCTTATTAGGATTTAATTGTAGTTGGTCTCTGATTAAGATAGCATACACACACACACACACTTCTCCTCGATTTCCTAGGTCATGTACTACATTTAAACATTGTTATTAGAAGGATTGGAAGACGGAGGAGGAAGAGGAATAAGGAAAGGAGGTGGAAACGGAGAGGTGAAAAATAAATGTCTTTTTCTAAAATTCATACAGCTTCATTTTAATCAGTAAACTATTAAAGTTTGTCTCCGAATCGGTGTAAGGCTTTTACACTGAACATCGTTATCAACGGCATAAATTTACACTGAACATACTGATATGCGGTATATATTTACACTGAACATTGTGATAAACTGTATATATTTACACTGAACATCGTGATAAACTGTATATATTTACATTGAACATAATGATAGGCGGTATATATTTACTCTGAACATCGTGATAAACTGTATATATTTAAACTAAATATTGTGATAGGCGGTATATATTTACTCTGAATATCGTGATAAACTGTATATATTTACACTGACTATTGTGATAGGCGGTATATATTTACACTGAACATAGTGATAAACTGTATATATTTACACTGAATATCGTGATAAACGGTATATATTTACACTGAACATAGTGATAGGCGGTTTATACTTACACTGAAAAATATTGTGATAGGCGGTATATATTTACACTGAACATCGTGATAAACTGTATATATTTACACTGACTATTGTGATAGGCGGTATAAATTTACACTGAACATCGTGATAAACTGTATATATTTACACTGAACATCGTGATAAACGGTATATATTTACACTGAACATAGTGATAGGCTGTTTATATTTACACTGAATATCGTGATAAACTATATATTTACACTGATTATTGTGATAAACGGTATATATTTACACTGAACATAGTGATGGGCGGTTTATATTTATACTGAATATCGTGATAAACTGTATATATTTACGCTGACTATTGTGATAAACGGTATATATTTACACTGAACATAGTGATAGGCGGTTTATATTTACACTGAAAAATATTGTGATAGGCGGTTTATATTTACACTGAACATCGTGATAAACTGTATATATTTACACTGACTATTGTGATAGGCGGTATAAATTTACACTAAACATCGTGATAAACTGTATATATTTACACTGACTATTGTGATAAACGGTATATTTACTCTGAACATCGTGATAAACTGTATATATATACACTGACTATTGTGATAGGCGGTATATATTTACACTGAATATCGTGATAAACTGTATATATTTACACTGACTATTGTGATAAACGGTATATATTTACTCTGAACATCGTGATAAACTGTATATATTTACACTGACTATTGTGATAGGCGGTATACATTTACACTGAATATCGTGATAAACTGTATATATTTACACTAACTATTGTGATAAACGGTATATATTTACTCTGAACATCGCGATAAACTGTATATATTTACACTGACTATTGTGATAGGCGGTATATATTTACACTGAATATCGTGATAAACTGTATATATTTACACTGACTATTGTGATAAACGGTATATTTTTACACTGAACATTGTGATAGGCGATATATATTTACACTGAACATAGTGATAGGCGGTATATATTTACACTGAATATCGTGATAAACTGTATATATTTACACTAAATATTGTGATAGGCGGTATATGTTTACACTGAATATCGTGATAAACCGTATATATTTAAAATAACTATTGTGATAAACGGTATATATTTACACTGAACATAGTGATAGGCGGTATATATTTACACTGAACATTGTGATAGGCGATTTTATATTTACACTGAACATTGTGATAGGGGTATATATTTACATTGAATATCGTGATAAAATGTATATATTTACACTGAATATCGTTATACCTGATTAGACACATTACAGTATTACGCTCACCTTTCACTTTTGACATTCTTTAGATCGGGCTTTTCGAAACTAATGGTTGGATAAGGAGGGTTATACATGTTTGGATAAGACCGGATAAGTCTAAGCATTTTTACACCCATTCGGATAATAATGAGGGAAATGTTTTCGGAGGTGATTCCAGACTTAAAGGTCAGTTTTCCTGCATATGTTGTGATAGTCATGAGCACGTGATAGACATTTAATATCACAAATGTATTTTTTTCATCTTTTATTACAATGTCATAAGTTTAACACTGATCTTTGGTTTAAACTGAACATAAGTTACTCACACCAAACACCCGTACACAAGTACCTTTTTGTGTTGCATAATTGATTATTTTCATTTTAACAAACACACTTGTTTTCTTAATGTAAAAGCAGCATTTAACCAAAGGTTTAGAGTTTTACATTGAATGTGGACAGTGTATTTTGAATTAAGTGTCTTTGGTTTATGTTAACAGTCTGTTCCGTAACATCACTAAGACAGATCGGGTGCAAACTGAAGCCTAGGTCCAAGTGTCAGGGATGCCCGGACAAAACGACTTGATATTTGTTTGATAATCATCGTACATAATGAGTTAAAATGACCTTAGAAACATGCGATATGAAGCTGAAAAAATCTACAAGCAAAGTGTTCGACATGAAAACATCGGGAAATCACGTATACCAAAATAACTGGTATAAATGTTCTACAGTGTGACGTCATCATGACGTAATAATGGCGATACCACAGACGACAAAATCTAGCATCTCGTTTCACACATGTGTATACCATATGTTACTTTTCAAACATACATACCAAATTCAAGTGGAACATATTCAATTTTCAACTAATTCAGATAAAATACAAAAAAGCAACATATAATTGATTATCACCCTCAAATAAGAAAACAGTTGATCCTTGTACAGCCCCTTCTCTAAGTAGTTAGCATCCTCCCCATAACGTTACAACACGCGCCCTTTTGGCGCCCCTTGTGGTGGTAGATAATGCAGTTGTTTCGGTATTGTCGATGATGGGCCAAGAAAGGCCTCTACTCGGCGAATGTCTGATTGGACCGTTGATATGAATCTGATCATTTAATCTGACATTCATGTTCATTTAAAGGGTATTTTGTTCCCCCGAGTCGGCCAGCCGAGGTAATAAACGCTCACCGCTGACGGTAGCCTTGTCTAATAGTGTTGACAGACGGCTGGTAACGCCGTTCCCGGGGTGATGTTTAAAACGCCACCAGATCGAAACACGATAGACAAAACATGTGTTTCTTATTGCGCGTCAACGGACTGGAATTAAGATGTGCAATTATTTATCATAATTTCTTTCCCGACAATTTCGCCACAATTTCAAGCATGTAAGAAGTGTGCCTCACATGGTTATTATGCGTGCCTGCTCTGTAACAACGACAGCAGCTATCAGCCAACAGCTTGATGAGCGGATTATAAATATATTATATTACTTGGACAACAACATCTTGACATTAGCCATGATTACACAGTCGTGTGCACTATAACTGGTAATCGGTTGACGTTCTATTCTTATTACAATTTAAACCCAATATCGCCTTTAACTATCAGAGTATGTTAATAGCAAAACTCGTAATAATTATTTATTCTTTAGTTTGGCACCTTTTGCACTTTTTTTTTGCACAAGAAATAAACCGAAATCATGTTTGTAACTTAATGTTTCAAATTATTAGCTATAAAAATTGGAAAATTCGAGAGAAAAAAAAACATTATTGCCGACAGGTACAGCGCGTTTCATACGCACCATAAGACAAAACTAGTCTATATTTGTAGATTTATAAACGAAGTAACTCATTTGGCTGTACATTTACTGAGCACATTTTAAAGGACACTTTCGTCATTAACATTACTTTAATCAAACAAATTTTCGTTTGTTAAAGAAAAAACGAGACCTGGTGTTTGCGTCACAGTAATAGAACGGTGTGGCTACATCATAAAAACATAGTGACTGTGCAAAGGGCAGCATTTTATCTCTAACTTTTCGGATATCATATGATGGAATGACACTTAAGGATTGCCCTTTGAACTTGTATTGGTTCTCTTGTTTGCCCGGATATAAGAGCGCAATGGGTCCTAATGTGATAGGAAACCAAGGTCTCGGAGAAAACCCAAATAGTGGCTGGACCGGTGACCCCATACTTTTCCACATCCAATTTGAGAGTCGAACCCTGGCCGCCTTGGTGAAGGCGGGTGCTCCTTCCACTACACCACTGTCACTAATCATATATGGCGTAGGAGAAGGGGAACAGGATGGGTAGAACGGGTGGCGGTAAATGTTGCATTTGCTAAACGCTGCTATAGTTTTATAAATATTTCTTTCTTTTACGCAATTTTAGTATGTGTGATATGAGCTGTGTCTCCGCATTACCATACATAATATGGAGGTCGAGATTGGATAGCAAAACTGATAATGGTACAGCTGTGTGTACATCTGTGTGTACGTATCTGCATGTATGTGTTCAGCTGTATGTTGTATATACAGCTGTGTGTACATCTGTGT